AATTGTATGGACGGCATTGAATGACACAAATGACGCCCACATGACTCTGTCCTACATTGTATGGACGGCATTGAATGACACAAATGACGAAAGGAACCAATAAAAGACTCTAGAACGTGTTTTTCAGGCAGAGCTCAGAGATATCATTTAGCTCTCTCCATCTGGCCTAACTTAAAACTCGGATTTTACATTTTTGTTCATCTCACAAACACGAGAGGTTTCAGAGACGAAACAAAACAATACATAGGAAAAAAATTACAATAAAATAGAATTGCCAGTCATATGAGATGACAAACACTCAAGCAGACAAACCGTAACCAAGCCTCTTATACGTCACCTGTAAAAACATTCCAGAACCAATTGTCTGTTGCATAGTCCAGTGTTGACTCGATCTGAAGCTCTGCCCTAAAAGTACAACGATTTGTTCCTGGTAAGTGTTATTTACAGTCAGAAATGAAATTGTTGAAATATGATTCAGCTCTTTGATAACAGGTTAAGAGAGGGGTTACCTACCAATCCCTTTTCATTACTCCTTTTTCATCGGGCAGCGGCCATTCGACCTAGAAATACAAGAAAAAAGGGAAATGGGTAATATTTATGTGCACTCGCATACGTTATATCAAATTTAATCAGATGTAGTTGTAAATTACGAGGTGATTTAAGACAAGAAAATTCTTCTCAAATTGTTTTAATGTCAAAGATTTGTAGGTAACTGCAATATTTACTCAGTTTCAGGCGAAGGTTGCCTGTGTCTTTAGTGATGTGACGCGAGGTGGCGATGAATTTCACAGTATGCCATTTGCCGACATCCTCTTGTGGTTTGACGATATAATTACATTAAAATTAACTTTCTAACTCCAAACCCATTGTTATTGAAGCGGAAAAAAATCATTATTACACGCTCAGACAATCGGGAACAAAAAAAATGCCTTCTTGATTACAATAAGCCATACGTTTCGTTTCATATCAGTATAACTTTAATCTGTAGAGCACGTCCAAACAATCATACCTCGCTTACAACATGAGATGCCTGAAATGTAAGAGCCAACCAATAACCTGCTGCTATCTCAGCGAGAAACAAGAGAGCTACCTAATATTTAAAAAAGAATAATTAAAATTTGCATGGAATGGGATGATTGCACAGTTTTGATGACGAAGTTCAACAACCATGCATATGCCTAGTCAAGATTTATTCCCCGCCAACATTGTGCAAGTTTACCCAGCAACAAGAGGACACTCAATCAGAGAACTTTCGAGTATACAATGTAGAACATGTGGGAATAATTTCACAAACTGAAATTCGCTTTTATTTCCCTTAATCAAAGATTGTTTCCTTAATTGTATGTTGAAATCAATGGCTTTAAATCCTAGATTCTTGATCGGATTCAAGAAATAATAATAAATAAATGACAATTTATATAGCGCCCTATCTAAAGCTCTAAGGCGCTTCACAATCAAGGTAAAAAGTAAAATAATCAAACATAATCATTCATTAAAATAACGCTTAAAAAAGATAAGTTTTAAGATTACGCTTAAAAGTGTTAAGATCTATACTACATTTATGGTTTCAGGAATGTCATTCCACAGATTAGGTGCAGAGACAGAAAAGGCGCGATCGCCATAAGATTTCAACTTGGAGCGAGGAATCACTAACAAGTTCTTACTCGATGATCGCAAATACCTAGTAGGCTTATAAGTTTCTAACAAGTCACTAATATAACTAGGGCATAAATTGTTTAAAGCTTTAAAAGTAAAAAATAAGATTTTAAAAATAATCCTCTGCTCCGCGGGGAGCCAGTGCAGTTACCTCAGTAAAGGAGTAACGTGATCATGCTTGCGACCACATAAGATCAGCCGTGCCGCACAATTCTGGGCTAATTGCAATCTATGACCTATTCAAAGATTGTACCATCACCGTTTTTCCGCGATGCTCTTCACTCGAAAAAAGGAGCTTCAGCTTGTGACGAGACCTCCCGATATGTTTATTATAGTAAGATTGACAGACAAACAGAAGCTTACCATTTTCCAAAATGATAGCAACATCCAGGGAAGAATCACTTTCTGCATGAAAAAGAAAAGTTTTCCACTAAAAAACACAATTACATGCGATTTTGAGGGTGGATTGAGCCTCATGGTACCTGAGAAAATTGAACAGAACAATAAATAAGTAAGTTGTAAAGTCGTCAACGTTGGTACATTTAATCTAAGATAGCTAACAGGAGTTGTTGCTTTAACATATATCAGTACGAGTTGTCTGTTTCAGTTTATGGAAAAAAAAAAGACCCATGTAGTTACAGTTAAACGCGTTAGGATCGACTAAAAAAGTACCACTACCTTGAATTTAAGTGAAGGATGAGGGTTGTAGTAGCCCCCTTGTACCTCCCCCACGTATCTCTTTTGTACAAACATGGCCGATTGTTTGTTTGTTGTCTTTTCACTTTTGATCCTAGCTAGCAAACCATTTAAGTCGCTTCCCAGTATACCTTCAACTTAAATAAGGTTATTTCGTCTCCAAATTTCATCCAAGGCTTTTTTTTTTTGAAAAGTAACACAATTCTTTGTAATATGTCATATTCAAGATTAAATATTAAAAAAAAAAGTTCGTTAAACAAAGTTCTGAACTCACTGTTTTTCAGGAATATAAATGTAGTGAAATCCTGAAGATAAGTCTTGAAGCCCAGCTGTTGTAAACAAAGAAGTCCATGCAAGCATAGTGTTAATCAAAAAACACTCGGTTAACTCAAGAAACGTGAGCGTAGGTGAATTACTTTCACGAAGTATAGAGAGAAGAGGCTAGCTCTCTGAAACACAATGCATTAACTTACCAAGCAATATACTAAAGGCATATATACATGCTGGTTAAAGTACCGAGGTAACCAATTCTGGCTCCACTTGATTCGTCTCATATCTGGCTTCTGTTGAGAATTGGAAAACATTTGTTTAATGATGGAAGGCTTATTTTGATCATTTAAATTTTCACAAAGAAAATTCGATTTGAGATGCAATGAATATATGAAGTTCATATATTTTGAACTGCGGTATTAGATACGTATGATGTACGATCCTCGCAGTAGATGGCGCTACTTATGCAATAGCGAAAATCAGACCTGAAAAAAATCAGGCCTGTACGGGACTCGAACCACTGACCTCTGTATCTAGTATCGCAGAGGTCAGTGGTTCGAGTCCCGTACAGGCCTGATTTTTTTCAGGTCTGATTTTCGCTATTGCATAAATAGCGCTATCTACTGCGAGGATCGTACATCATACGTAAAATTCGATTTCTTCGCCATTTCAAGAAAAGGATATTTGGTTGGACTGTCGGAAGGGGCATCGCTATCATAGCCTTAAATTCGTGTTTTAAAACAGTCTTGCTTTGTATACTATATCCTTTATCTATGTTTATAACGTAACAAAAGTTTCCAGTCCATCTTGGAATTTGAAAGCGCAAGCTCATTGCGGTAGCTACTCCTAACTCAACTCACACCGATTGAGTTATTGAAGGTAATTAACGTCGCTTTTCAAACCAAATTTCTCAACCTGTAGACTTTAAAATAACAAAAATTTGTCGTCCTCGTGATTGGTTGTTATTGAAAACCATACATGAATCCGGCGTCACAAGCAACTACAACAATGTCGTGGGCCACGTGCGCTTGTGTGACCTGTCACAAGTACAGAGAAACTCCATCTTCGAACTCGCGTTTTCTCGAAACGCACCATAATGTTAATCTGAAAAAACCAACATTCTAAATTCCAATTCGATCTGGAAACAGTGGACAGGAAGAGCGATCCAGTGGATGTCCATTGCTAAATTATTATTTATTTATTATTATTATTTATCTGAGACCGGTTTCCTTTTGAAGTCGAACCCTGTAACTCTTATCCCTTCCGACAGTTCAACCAAATATCCTTTTCTTCAAATGGCGAAGAAATAAAATTTTCTTTATGAAAATCTAAATGATCAAATTACTCTTCCTTCCTTTCTGTGAACGTATAAAACTAGAAGTACCATAAATCAGGACCCTAAAAATAAACCTCAAAGTAAACAAAGCACATGATAGTGTTAATAATAAATACTTACTTTTTTTGCAGTGCTGATGTCCGGATCGACCCCATCGATGTTGGTGAAGGGATGATGACCAAATATATGCTGAGGTAGAGAAATTAATATCATTATAATGATAATAAATGTAATAAAGAATACTTTTTGTGAAAAGTTAACTGTCTTATTTTGATCGAAATGCGCGAGATCGCATAGCACAGC